GTCATAAATCTTTTTCCTGGAAAATTTAAGGAGTTATTATTATGTACGTTTAGATGATACAACCGGTAGGATACTTTGCACGTTACTGTAAATGTCGATCAATTAATTTTATTGTAATCCTAATCAGGTATAGCGTAAATGTTTTTTCCACCTACAAGAAATTAACTACGTCTTAATGGACGTGGCGTGTAAACAGGACCGCATGTAAAACCAAGTTTTGGGAATATCCCACGGTCAAACACTCTCTCCCGGTAACAACGATTGTTCAGACAAGGCCTAAATTATAACGACTGACAATAGTGATAGTAAACGGTTAAGGTTGATAATGCGGATAAGAGAATACCTTAATATGGAAACTGAACGCAATCTATAAATTCTTATTGCTTTTAGTAATCGCAACGCCTTCTTCCCGTAAGCAATTAAAATGAAGCTTGTGCAACTTGGAAACATCGCGCGCGTCACAGCACTTGAGCTGGTAAACCTATCACAATTAATAATTCTCATGTGTCATTTGTCGTCGCTCTCTCGGGCATACTCCACAATAACAATTCCAAGGCAAGTAAAAATACGTACCCTTAGCAATCGCAAATTACTGACATCTATTGAATATATTCTATTTTATTTTCCTTGGATCTGTTACTCTAATTGTTCTCTATGAAATATATTAAGACTAAAAATTCATAAACCAAAAGCAAAACAAAATCACATGCCTCTTATGAGAATATGTTGAAGATGATTATTAAATCCCACCAGATGATATATAAAACTAGTACTGGCTCTTCAAGCAGACCCAAACTGTGAAGCTACCAAAGCATGTAAGTTTGCTAAGGTTTTTGCTAAAGAGAATGTTCTTATTTGGTTGAAGTAATCTCATATCCATAATGTAAAGTAGAACTGATTGTTCAACCAATACATTTTTTTATTAGTCCCTCCACTTCTATTATAAATATCTATTATTACAATCGTCCTCTCCTCTCAATTAAATTGTCATTCCCGTGGTCGTCGAGCCAGCCTACCCCGGAGACTCCTTCGGGGGTAGAAACCCTTGTCTTCACTGGAAGGAGACGGACGTGATTTTCCTGCCGAGGACGGAAGGAGAGATTGAAGTGTTTCTATTTGATCGCTCTGAGTATAATTCGTAGAGAGAAAGAGTGGAGAATGCGATGAGAATTTTACCCGAAAGCCCGATGTAAAACTGAGTTTTTCTAACTAATCTGCATGATGATACTATTATGAACCATTTTACCTTCAAATCCATACTGTGAAGCACTTCGTTGACCTGTTCCTTAATAGAGTGCCACTTGTTCCGCGAATTTACGGGATCAATGGTATCTGATTCGTATGAGAGCTGGTTATAAACCCTATACAAGACGCAACAAGCAACAACGTTTGAGTGACATACGATTAGTAATCCTCACTAATATCATCTTGAGCTTTCTGGCTTTTAATCTGCCCTCAACCTTCTCATCAAAATACATACATGTGTAGATGACTTAATTCATCTTTCAAATTATCAATAACCTTTTCCAGCGCCATATCAGGAGACACTTCTTCTTCATCTCCTTTGCTATAGTAGCTATTCGTTCGGGCATATGTTGTTGCTTGTAGGTAAAAAACAAAGACGAGCATCCCTTATCAGCATAATGTTTTAAACGAGAATCCAAAAGTGAGAACGTACATTTGTTGTTATTTTCATCCTTCCCAATCTTACATATCGAACATGTTTTTGAATTATGTTCTTTCATAAGACTTAGCGCTCGTTGCGTTTTTGCTGTAACCGAAGGTGACTTTCCCG